TCAGGGGTTTGATCAAGACAACAGCAGAAGTTTGAGTAGATATTTAAAATTCAGAAGCATTACTCATATTGACTTGAGAGTTCAACATAAAACTGCCTTAAAAAAAGATAAAATTGTCACTAGTAAATAAATAGGCCTGGGGCTGGCCCGGTGGTGCAGCGGTTGGGTGCGCACATTCTGTTTCGGTGGCCCTGGGTGTGCTGGTTCGGATCCCGGGTGCGGACATGGCACCTCTTGGCAAGCCATGCTGTAGCAGGCATCCCACACATAAAGTAGAGGAAGATGGGCACGGATGTTAGCTCAAGGCCAGTCTTCCTCAACAAAAAGAGGAGGATTAGCGGCAGATGTTAGTTCAGGGCTAATCTTCCTCAAAAAAAAAAAAAAGCGGCCTGCTTTTGGCCACAAAATTAAAAAGTTAAAGGAAATTTTAAACCAAAAAACTTCCATTTGTCTCTTTTTATTAATCATATACAATTATATTTAAATATCAGGTATCCTACCTGGTGTTTCCCTGAGGGTATATGGAAAAAAATAGCTGGTACTATAGTTAGCTAATACTAACAAGGAGATAGATGTGTACACTGTAAACGTAATTCCAAAACATTGAAACAGAAACCCAAAACATGGGTACTTAACACCACTACCCAACCTTTACATGAGCTTTATGTGATCTTTTCCTAAAAGTTCAGAATGAAATGATGAAATAACTAATCTGAAATGAATGTGATCTAATGATATGTCTGGATATTTTATATTTTTAAAAGTCAAGGACTCAAAGACATTTTAAATATTGTAAATTATATTTGATGCATATGTGTGATTGCATATTAAAGTTAGTAAGAGAAAATGTTCTTTAAAAAGCAAGTAGGTGGGGCCAGCCTGGTTGCATAGTGGTTTGCGCATTCTGCTTTGGCGGCCCAGGGTTCGTAGGTTTGGATCCTGAGTGCGGACCTAGGCACCACTCATCAAGCCATGCTGAGATGGCATCCTACATACAAAATAGAGGAAGATTGACACAGATGTTAGCTCAGGGACAGTCTCTTTTGACTATAAACCTTAATGCCAATTGATCATTGTACCCAAGACTTACAACCAACATTTTGTGATGCTCAATTTTTAAAAGAATATGTTGATTCTAAAAGTGTTGCTACAGTTTCTGTCCTTGAGAAAAGTAAAAGATGATTTGGAATTATGCCAGAGAAACTTGTGTATATAAATCTTGGACTTACAACTGTGGATTGAGCCAATATAGGAAGACCCAAGTGAGGCTGGAAGGACCCCTTCTGTAACTTTGGAGACTCAAACACTTGGATTTTCTGCATTTCATAAAGTGAATTCATACATCAGTCTTCCCTTAACCTCCAGTACCTACATACCACCTCAAGAAAACAGTCACCAAAGTGAGTCTATCACTTACTAGAACTCCATACCGCCTTGAACTGAACATGAACTTAAATAACTAAACTGAAGATATATCAGACAAGCGTTCATATTGTTAAAGAAAAAAATTATTCTAACACTTGTTAAAAGGGTAAGGAAAACTTTATTCAGGACTTTTGCAATAGGTATAAAGACTATCCCAATAGGGGAGAGAGACGGGGCTCAACTCCAAATATGTCAAAGACAGCTGGGGAATTGTAGCCAAGGAGCAGAGTGAAGGGGGTCAGTGGATGGAAAATTACTAAGAGGAGACATCAAGTGCAGGGGGATTCTTGCTAAACTGACTTAACAGGATTCTTGCTGAAGACAGGCCAGGGTGATCAGATATCAAGGGTCGGGGAATTCTCACTAAACCGCCCTAGCAGGATTCTTGCTAAAATTGGGCTAGGCAGGCCCAAGACAGGGCCCAAGGACAAGGCCTGGTAGAAAAAAGGGCTCAGAGAAGCCTGTCTAAAGCTTGGTCAAGAGTCTTTGTCAATATAATCACAACGAAAAATTTTTATCAATACCTTCAAAACAATTTGCCTACATCATTAGTGAGATGCATTCAAAGGACAACCACCACAGAGGGTAATGCTAGATCTTGTTATTCATCTCGTGGTTTTATTGTTGATGTTGATATTCATATTTTTGATTAATTATGATAATAGCACAAATTGCTTGAGGACTTTCAATATGCCATTCACTCTTCTAGGTGTTTTTCATGTACCATTTCATTGAGTCCTCACAGCATCTTTATCAGGTAAGTACTATTATCCTCATTTTACATATAAGGAAACAGACTCTGAGAAATTAAGAATTTGCCAAAGATTACACAGTTAATAAATGGCACAGCCAGGTTCTGCAGGGCAGGACCACAAAGACCACAATCTTACCCAGTAGGCTGTACTGCCACCAAAACAAGTAATTCTTAGTCAGAATTAAGAATTTTAATTAAAAGAATAATTTTATGGTTTATCAAATTATAAAAGATACTATTATTTGATTGAAGGGTTAAAACGTTCAAGTAGGCATTTGGTAATGTTGAGTTAAATTTTAAATATGAGAACTCAGAACTTTTAAGAAATTATCTTTTCCAGCTCTGCGTCTGGAGTGGCCTAGTGTAGCAATACCATTACTATCCCCAGTAAAAGTATCCCCAACATTCTGCTTCTGTGTCACTACTAATTTCTGTTCAAAAGTAGCAGGGTTTCTTGGAGAGTGGCTTCTTCCATGTCTTAGGGCTGAGAGAATGAAGATGGTCCTGGAGTTTTCTTTGCGAAAAAGCAAGGATGCTTTCAAAGTTCTGATGCGGTTGAAAGAATAAAGAAGCCAGCTTCAAAGGGGCTCTCATTGGCCAAGATGGAACAATTTGAACATCAAAATAGGAAACAAAAACTGTACTTAATTAAAACTAGTAGTCTGTGAAAAATTGTCTCCGTAATAATATTTTTTAAAAGAAAAATTGGGGTTTTCTTTTCAAATAACTAGTATTATATGCAAATTGATTTTTATTCAGAAAAATTCCTATTTATATTTACTGGTAAGTTTAGTCCCAGGACAGACAGAAGCATACTGAACGCTTTCTGGCTGAGTTACGTCTGGGCTTACAGCCCTCACAGAGCTCAGCCTGGGAGGAACACAGCACAGACCTCACCAGGCCCACGTGTGAGAGGAGACCTGCACTGCACATTTGCTGCCTCTTTACAAGACTATAATTTTCATTCAGACCTAAGTATCAACACTTTAGTTTTTTTAGGTAATGTTTATTTTCATTTTTTTAAGAAGAGCTTTACTGAGACAAGTCACATCCCATGAAATTCACCCTTTTAAAAAAGTGTAGAATTCAGTGGTTTTCAGTATATTCAAGAGTCGTGGAACCACTGCTACTAATTCCAGAACATTTTCATCACTCTAAAAAACCCTATATTCCTTAGCAGTTACTCCTCATTCTTCCCATTATTTATTATTCCATATAAACTGAATCATAAGATATGTGGCCTTTTGTATCTGGCGTCTTTTAATTAACCTGTTTTCAAGGTTCACCCATGTTCTAGCATGTATCAGTAATTCACTTTTATGGCTGAATGATATTCCACTCTATGGGTATATCATGTTTTATGTATCCATTTAACAGTTGATGGACATTTGGGTTGTTTCCATTTTTATGGTGACTCTATGTTTAACTTTTTGAGGACCTGCCAAACTCTTACAAAGTGGTTGCCGGATTTTACAATCCCAGGAGCAATGTGTGAAAGTTCCAATTTTACCACAGTCTTGCCGACACTTGTTATCCTTGTAATTTTAGCCAAGCTAGTGGGTATGAAGTGGTATCTCATTGTTTTGATTTGTATTTCCCTAAAGACTGTTAGATATTGAGCATCTTTTCATGTGCTTGTTGGCCATTTGTTTATTTTCTTTGGAGAACTGTATGCTCAGATTCTTAGTCCATGTTTTGTCTTTTTAGAATTGAATTTTAAGAATTCTTTATAATTATGGATATAGGTCCCTTAACAGATTCACAATTTGCATATATTTTCTCCCATTCAGTGGGTTATCTTTTCACTTTCTTGACGGTGTCCTCATTTGAAGCACATATGTTTTTAACTGTGATGAAGTCTAATTTATCTATTTTTTCTTTTGTTGCTTGTGCTTTTGGTGTTATATCTAAGAAACCATTGCTTACTCCAAGGTAATAAAGTCCTATGTTTTCTACTGAGAGTTTTATGTCCACACGATAATTTTAATATTCTCTCTAGAGATGCCCAAAGACCCTTCTCTCACAGAAAAGAAAGTCAAGAATCCATGTCCTTCATTTGCAACTGAGATAAGGTGAACAACTCCCCACCTAGGAATTCCTACTTTTACTACTTCTTATCCACTTCTCAGTCATGTGGCTGGAAAGGACCTTAGTTCTAAACTTAGTGTGGAACAAGTGGGCTAAGAAATTCAAATTTAAATGTAGTAGCTTAGGATTATTTGCAGAGCTTGTGCTATGTGCTGGGCAAGAAACTAGGTGCTGGGGGCACAGGAAATGAGATCACCCAGGCCTGCAAAGAGCTCACAGGCAGAAACAGGAAACTATAGGATCACCAGCACTGTGGTAAAAGAGTGGCCCCTCATAATGCCGTGGGGTTGAAGTGGAGGGCAGTCTCCAAAACCACGTGCAAAGGCCCAAAGCTGGCAGGAAAATGGTACGTTCTGAGAACTATAAAGAGCTCTCTATGACTGGGTGATCAGGGAGAGGGGTAAGCGAATAGAAGAGCAAGAAGAGTTCAAGATGCTCCAGGGAGAAGTTAGCCAGAAAGGGAGAGTATTTTTCATGACCAAAGTACTGTGCTAGATGCTGTGGACACAAAGGGAAGGCTCAGTTCCCGCAGCCTATGGCTAACTGTCTGAAGAAGTTCCGAATGATGACCCTCGCCATCCCTCTCTGAGGCTGGCACTCGTTAGTATAATTGCACTTCACACAACTACAAGACCAACTCTTGTTAATAACCTTGGCCTTTCAGTCTGCCAAGCCCTAATGAAAAAAAATCTAAGTTCTAAACTTTAAAGGAGCAGAGACGCTTGGAAACAGGTTATAGTTTAAAGTATCTAATCATTTATTTAAAGTGTTTTTAAAAAACAAGTTGAATAAAATCCTAGCCTATCATTTAAAAAAAGTATATCTACGTTCCAGAAAAGAGTTAAGATAGCTAAACTGTTACTGTGTTATGTTCTGATGTAAATTTTAGACCTAGAAATAAGTCTTCACCAGAGAAAATTAAATGCCACTTAACAGTGAAATATTACTATAGGAAGACTAGAAAGCTGTAAAAATGAAAATTTTGGTATCTGATTAAATCATCTACAATCAAGAATGGTCCATGTATTTACTTTTGCATGCAAAATAGGAATAATGTTCCAATTTTACTAATAGACAGTTATGCAGACGATTGTGGGAAAACTAGGACACACACACTTGACCCTTTTTCTGAATTAGCAATAAGGCTATAGACGCCTAGAAAGGACTGAGGAGACTTTCCCAGAAATGTCTCCAGTTTCTTATGAAATAAAACGACATAAGGAAAATGCTAATTAAGAGAGGAGAAAATAATAATATAACCACTCAACATGCATATATATCTGTACTACTTACGAGGACCTTTCCTATATTCTGACCCTTGTAGCTGCCCTGTGGGCACGCAGGTCTCAGTGCTTCACTCTGCGGTGTCTTCCCCACAAACACTGAAGGATGCCAAGAACAGTGTGCTCCTGGACCCCAGTTTCCATGTATTTAAAGAATAGAAGTTTTTAAAAAGCTGTTTTTCTGAGTAACTTTAGTTTCAGAAACTGCATTAAACATTTCTTATTTCCTTAGTCCACCTTTTACAGAGAAGATAAGAAACTTCTGAAGTCCACCTTTGGATTCTTCTGGGATTCACTCTGACTAAGCAACATTTTCAGTTGAGAGAAGTGTTTCTTTGTTTTGCTCACATTCTTCGCGGAGCAAGTAGGTGTTGACTGTCCAGATGTAGGTGTTCTGAAAAGAAACATAAAACCACACTCAGGTACACTGACGACTGACGGTTTAAAAAGTGTCCTTCCCGCTTAGCCTAGGTAACTACTACTGGCGTCATTTTCTACTCTTCTGTACTATGGCCACACACGAGCAGTGGCTGTATCCAGCACAGTCATTCCCATTTTGTTAAAAATCTCCACACTAAATAGGCTATAGGCAACATTTAGGAGGTATACTGGGTGGTTCTGGAGGCTTCTATCACACTTGAAAGAGAAGGCTAAAGGTAAAGCATCTTCAGGTCTGAGTTCCCTTTAAGTCTGACATCAAGATTCCTGACAATTCTAAGCAAGGACTTAAAAACACGTTCTTCCTCACAGCTCAAGATCACTTCCTTTCTCAAAAGTGAAGGATCGCAACCTACACGTGTAGATACCAGTCCACTGTATCTGCCTCCCTAGAATATAAGCGCTAGAGGGGAGACACTTTATACTACTAATTCTATATTCCAGTGCTTTTTAACAGCACCAGGCACAGAGGAGGCCCAGTAAAAATATCCACTGAATACATGATTCCCATCTGGTACGTGTGTATTTATGCCTCATTCTATTTCATTCTCTCCAATTGTGTTCCACCCCCCCAAATCCTTATTTGGAGTTTGTCAGTCTGATTCCTCTTCTGACTCCCCATCTGTATAAATGTGAAATATCTCATTCCTGCATATATCTAAAAAGCAGTCTGGTCTAAATGCAAGTGAATTATTTGAAATATGCCGAATTTTCTTTTATCTACATTTATCCAATAGAGTGGAAACTTCTATGATGAATTCCTAGCATACCAAACATCAAAATAATTGAATCAAGGATACAGAGAAAACTGGAACTGAAATTTTAATTCTTACCCAATTCTATAAACGTCAAACCAAATATAAAACTCAATTCAGTAAGAAAAAATAATCCAGTCCTTGCTGAATTTTGTTATCTACGTTCAAGAAACTACCAGACTCAGTTTCTCTTTTGTAACACAATGTTGAAAAATTCCTTATAGTTTCTATGGAATTAAATCTATGGACTATCATAATGAATAAAGTATTGAGGGGGATTACTAAAAATAAAACATGTGCCCAGTCATACAGTTAACTTAGTATCATTTGACAAATCCCCATTCAGTTAGATTTCCGCAGGAATTTCTGATAGCGGAAATAGCAAGAACAGAGGTTGAGAGGAGGAAAGTGAACTGAGTGGCTCGGTTTTGCTGACACACAGGATGAATTAAGGCAAAGCAAGACAGACTGGGGCCGGACAGTGAGGGCTAGAAAGCCATGCTGCAGCATTTGACCCATATGCTACAGAGTGAGGCACTAAAGGCTTCTAATCAGAGCTGTGCTTTAGGAGAATATCAGACTAGAAAGGTCTGAAACAAGCAGCAGGAAGACTCAGGAAATTACTGTAGTAGGCTGGACAAAAGGTGAATAAAGGCCTCAACGGCTGGCAGCAGGAGGGAGAAAAAGCTGGGAACAGATGCAAGCACCATGGAAGTAGGCTAGAAACTGGTGACCAACTGGACAAGAACAAGGGAGCAGGAGTTGTCAATTATACTCACCATTTCAGGTCAGAATGTCTAGAAAGGACCTGTTCATTCACAGAATAAGGAACTTGGGAGGATGGGCAGGTTTGAGTAGTTAGCTGTGGGGTCATGTATGGGGGTCAAGTGGATATATTTAAGGCAGCTGGGAACAGGTCCAGGGAGAGGTTGGAAGTAGAGGAATATACCTAGAACTCATATGCAGAGATAACAATGGAAGATAGGGGAGTATATGACATTAGAGGAGAAAAGGGTATGGAGGAAAATGCGGGCCAAAGCCTGAATTGCATGGCAAATTTAGGGAATGTATGTTACACAGAGGAAATTGGAAGAAATACTCAAGAGTTGACAGTGGCAATTCAAATAGTTTAATGAATTAAGATACCTGAAAATCAAAGCTGGGCTCTTGTCTTTGGAACCAGACATATCACGAATCAGGTTTCTAGAACTCAGAGTCTTTCTCTCTGGTGTCTTCAGGCTGAGTTTACTTGTAGGAGTGGTAGAATTGCTCTTCAAAGCTGATAGAACGCTTCTGCTTTTACCGTGATGTTTAACGGTTCTGTTGCATGTTTTACAAGTAATCAACTACCATAAAAAGAAATATTGGGCCTGATTTCTCTTACAATTTAATCCAATAAACTATATGTTCATTAAATTTTTATACGTAAGGGGACTACACCAGGTACTACAGAGTGAGTAACTGAGACCGCCCTCGGCGAGCTTGTAATATAGCAGCAGCAATGAGACAAGACACAAATTTAAAATGAGAAAATCTTCAATAAAAAGTTAATGGCTAAACACGTGTATTTAATTTAAAATACTTTTATAAGGTAACAAAATCTCTACTTTCTCAGCGTACAACCATGTTTGGGGGCAATGAAGGAAACTGGGAATGACGTCCTTTAACATCTGGAAGGATGTCTTTCTAATAGCAGTAGACCTTTAACATTTTTTGCAGATGAACTCCAAGCCTTTTCCCAATAAAACATGGCAAACTATCACTGAAAATTTAAGTGACTCCTTCAAACCTTTAGTGATTCTAGAACTATAGATCCAACGTAATTTACAATACCAATCAAATGAACTCTCATATTCTTCCACCTCTTCACTTCATTAGCTCCACAGGTTGACTTTTTTTTTCAAGAAATGGTCCATTTTATAGTTAAACGCCTTTCCTCTACCTATCTGACACAAAGCACAGGATTCAGTCCAGGCCTCAACAAAGTTAATAAAAACTAGCTTAGCTGAGAAGTACTGTGATGGTCATGAGCAGATGAAAGTTCACATGAAAGATCTGCATATATCAAAGCTCTATGTAAGTTGCTTCATACTTTTTGAAGAGGCCGGATATAGATTAAACAGTCAATTTTATGACAAAGCAAAATACACTTACTGTCCAATACTGGTAAATATTTACCTATCTAAATATGGCAGTTTCAATTCAAGTTAATATTGATTGTAGTCTTGGGCCAGACATAAGCTGTCTTAATGTCCCGTGCCCAGCATGGTGCCTGGTAGTAAGGAGGCACTTGAATAGTTGATAAATGTTAACATAGAACATGCAGACAAAATGTATCTGATACTGGTCTCCATATAGTTAGTCATAAGTAATTTGTTTTTTTGTTGTTTTGGGTTTTTTGAGGAAGATCAGCCCTGAGCTAACTGCTGCCAATCCTCCTCTTTTTGCTGAGGAAGACTGGCCCTGAGCTAACATCCATGCCCATCTTCCTCTACTTTATACGTGAGACGCCTGCCACAGCATGGCTTGCCAAGCAGTGCCATGTCTGCACCCAGGATCCGAACCAACAAACCCTGGGCCACCAAAGTGGAATGTGCGCACTGAACTGCTGCGCCACTGGGCCAGCCCCAGCCACAAGTAATTTGATTGTGGTTGTTTTATTCCATTTTATATCACCTGTATTAATGTTGTGTGGCATAAAGTAGACCCTCAGTAAATGTTTAATGAATGAACATAAGATGCACTTGCTTTTGTTGGGCATAAACTTAAATACATATTCTGAAAAGGGGGGATGGGGATGACTGAAGAAGTGACACTGGTACTTAGTACATAAGGTACTGCTCTTTGAAGAAGAGGACCATTAACTGAAAAAATAATTTAGTGGTAACTGCAGTTCAGGTGCAGTCACATTGGTCAGCTCAGGAAATCCTGAAATTTGTGAAAATAACTGTGCTCAACAATGAGATCTGGGAACAACTGAGAGCTCATGATGTTTGGTTTTAGGTAATTGTGAAAAATAAAAAATAAGGAGCCGGCTCCGTGGCCAAGTGGTTAAGTTCGCACACTCTGCTTTGGCGGCCCAGGGTTTCGCCGGTTCAGATCCTGGGTGTTGACATGGCACTGCTTATCAAGCCATGTTGAGGCAGCATCCCACATGCCACAACTAGAAGGACCCACAACTAAAATATACAACTATGTACTGGGGGGAATTGGGAGACAAAGAAAAAAAAGAAAAGAAAAATAAAAAATAAGCTGTACTTTTTTTTTGAGGAAGATTAGCCCTGAGCTAACGTCTGCCACCAATCCTCCTCTTTTTGCTGAGGAAGACTGGCCCTGAGCTAACATCTGTGCCCCTCTTCCTCTACTTTATATGTGGGACACCTACCACAGCATGGTTTGACAAGGAGGGCCATGTCCGCACCCGGGATCTGAACAGACGAACCCCAGGCCACCAAAGTGGAACGTGCACACTTAACCGCTGTGCCACTGAGCTGGCCCCTAAGCTGTACTTTTGATGTAACAGTAATCACTAGAAAAAATTTATCTATATACTTGGACAATCTAAATATACTACTACAAATCTCTGAGTTATATTCAGGCTAATTCTTAATCTCATTTTAAGTGAAAGAAAATTCTAATTTATTTATACAAACTAGAATTGAAATCTTACCAATACACTTTTGGAGTCTTTGTACTTTTTCACAATTTTTGCTTCTTTAAAACTGAGTGTATAATTTCTTGCTTCTCGATTAAGAAGTTTCTGTATTCTGGGTGTCATTTTGGGCTTGGGTTTGAGGCGCACTCGAAAGTTATCCAGAACCAGCAACTGGAAACAGTATGGACATGTTCCTTCAAAAGCACTTTTATCATCTAAAATTATACAAATGAAACTCATGATTCAGCAAATCAGAATATTTTAACTCAAACTACCACTATTATAAATGTGAAAAAGTATATAATTTAATATGAGATTACATTCTCAAGGAAACTCAAAATATGAGAATTTACAAAAAGATGAACTGGCAATTTATTTTGCAAAACACTGTAATTCTAGTTATTCTAATTCTTATTAGGCTCACTTTGGCTGCTGGATTCACTCCTTTTAGCCACTCTGTGAGGCCTCAGTCTGCTACTCATTACTCGCCACTAGATTAAAAAGGCTGTATGTCTAACCAATTTTACAAACACGTTTATCACAAAATAAATTATAGTGTGATTTTGTTTCTTTTGTAAACAGCACAATCTTGTGGTTTGTGGGTTAGGCTTTGTCTGCAGATAGCTCTCTCAATACAAGGTAACAGGACAACAGACTTGCCCCAGACCCTTTATACAATCAAGAAAGCACTCACGGACTATCTACCATGCTAGGCTATGAAGACACAAATGTGGAAGTGAGAGAGTTGCTATCTTTAAAGAACTCATATTCTAGGGGAGCTCTATGCAAATGAAGGTCAGACTGGTAAGAACTATAACAGAATAGGATTAAAATGTTCTGGAAATTATTAAACTGCATGGACCAGCCAGAAACACTTCAAAGAGAAGGCTTGACAAAGGTCATCACAGATGACTATAAATTCTATCTGTATTTGGAGATGGCAGCCATTCCTGATAAAGAGCTTTCAGGTTGAAGCACAGTGAAAAAGAAAGTATAACTATTCAGGGAAAGGTAGGGTGTGAAGGTAACGCAGCTGAAAATGAAGGTGGGCACACCGTGCATTATTCAATGAATATTTACTGGTGAGCACTGTGCTAAGTGCTAGGGATGCAACAGCACCACAAAGAGCTGCCAAACGGAAAGTTCATTCATATTTACTGAGTGACTGCTAAGTGCCAGGCACTGTTTCGGGTGCTGGAGATACAGCAGGGAACAAAGGACAATCCATGGAGAGAGCTAGGAAGTAACAGCACCAAATGTTAAGTGCTAGGAAGAAAAAAATAGGAAAGGGGAATAGGGAATGGTGATGGAGCTGCTGTCATCTTAAATAAGGTAGCCAGGGAAGGCTTTGTGGAGTGACATTTGCAGAGACCAGACAGAAGCAAGGGAGGAATCCACGCAGATATGTGAAGTGAGAGTTCCAGGCTTAAGGACGAGCAGCTGCAAAGGCCCTGAAACAGCAAGGAGGCCTAGCAGTGGTCGGAGTTAAGAGAACAAAAGGGAAAGCAGGTCAGAGAGGTCATGTGGGCCTACGATGCAGGGCCTTGTAGTCCTTTTAAAAGATTTTCACTTGTCCTCTGAGATGGGAAGTCATTTGTGAGTTTGCAGCAGAGATGACGTGATGTGGCTTAGGTTCCTATTAGGCTCACTTTGGCTGCTAGATTGAGCCGCCTGTAGAAATGCACTGGGAGCTGCTGGCAGTAACTCAGGGCAGAGACTGATGGCTTGGACCAGGGTAGTAAGAAGAATGTGATGAGAAGTAGTTAGATTTTGGATATATTTTAAAGCCACAGGATTTGCTGGCATATTGGCTTAGGGAGGAAGCCTGTTAGGGTCAAGAATGGCCTCAGGTTTTGGGGCTGAATAACTGTGAGGATGGAGTTACCATTTCCTGAAATGGGACAAAATGGAGGAGGACCGTGTTGTGGGGGTGAAGCACGGATTTTGCCCTAACGGACATTCAAAAGAAGTTGTCAGGAACGTTATCTGGATTTGAGTGTAGAATTCGGGGGAGAGGTCTGGACTGAGGACATAAACTTGGAAGTCCCCAGTATACGGAATATAAAAGCCAACAGATCGGATGAAAACTTGTCACCAAGGAAGTGGGTGTAGCTAGAAGAGAGGTCCAAGGACCGAGTCCTGGGACACTCCAACATTTATACAGAAATCGGGGAAATTAGGAGTAATCAGCAACGCAGGTCGAGCGGCCCTGGCTAAAGAGGTAGGAGTGACCTATGTGATGACCTGGAAACCAAGTAAGTAAACTATTTAGAGAAGACTGATCGGGGGGGTCAAATGCCGCTCGTAGGTTAGGCAAGGTAAGGCACAGCAAGGAATTTGGGTTTTTCAGAAACTGGGAAGCGTCGGGGGGTTCTAGCAGGGCAGTGGGTGGATCGGGTTTCTCTTTTGGACCAGTGTGAGAGCCGTGCGGAAGCGGGGCGACGCGGCGGACCCGCGCCGGACGCGCGGGCGGCTGTTCTCCCTACCGTGCGACGAACTGTAGGCCCAGCTGCAAAAGAGAAAGAGACCCGTGAGGAACCAGGAAACCACCTCGCCGCCCGCCGCCCGCGTGCCCGCCTGGCCGTGTCTTACAGGAGATAGCGGGCCTGGCCCGGGCAGCTATCTCGGAGTTGCCGCGCCGCGGCCTCAAGGTAGTGCTTCTGCCTCATGGCCACCGCCGCCCCCACGCCACCAGGATGCGGCGACAAAAGCTGACTCCGGAAGCCGGCTTCCTAGCTTGCCGGCGTTGACGTGCGTTTCCAAGCTCCCTCCGGAAACCGGCGCCCGCTACTGACGGGTTCCGGGATCCTTTGCGGCCGCTCCGCCTCCAAACCCCGCCCCGTCGCCTTGGCCCGGCGCGGATCGGGCTTGGCCTCGGCCCCGGCCCGGATCCTGGCTGAAGCTGCTTGACCCGGCAGGGGTGGCACTATCAGGAGCTGACTGTCCCACCGGCGTGTCTGTCTTTCTCTCCTGATAGCCTCCTTTCTGACACCCCTGTTGTCAGTCCCGAGCCCACGTCCCCTCTGGCTTCTTGAGCCGGGTATTGACTCGGGCCGCGCGGCAGGCGGATGCGCGCTCCGCACGAGGCCCCTGGGCGCTTGGGAGGAGAGACTTCAGTCCGCCTGCTCTCGGCGCCTGCACGAGCGAGCTGGTCTTTATTGTGTTTGTTTCCGTTTTAAATTGAAGTGAAATTCACACAACATAAAGATAGCAATTTTAACATGATTAAGTGGCGGTTAGTACATTTACAGTGTTACGTGAAACACTGCTGTTAACCTAATTCCAAAACATTTCTCTCACCCTAAAGGAAACCCCATACCCGTTTAGCGGTTGCTCCCCATTCTCCCGTTCCACCCAGCCCCTGGTAATCGCTAGTTTCCTTTCTGTATTTATGGATTTATCTATTCTGGACATTTCATATAAATGGGATCATACATGGGGCCTTCTGTGTCTGGCTTCTTCCACTTAATGTATTTTTGAGGTTCATCCACCTTGTAGCATGCATCAGAACTGTGAAACCAAACCTCTTAATCTCAAATTCCTGTGCCCCGTGTGCAATAAGCCAATCACTGAGAAACCAGTGCTTGGAGATGGAGAAAGGTTTACTCCAGTTGGCTAAAACCAGAAGATGGGAAGATAGGTTCTCTCAAGTCTGCCTCCACAAGAAAAGAAAGCAGGGGGTTTGATAGAGCTAAGGAGCTTGGGAGGAGGAGTTTTGAGGGAACAAAGCAGAAATCTGTGTTTCTTTTGCTCCAGATAAGCATTTTGACAACCAGACTTTTGGGCATCCATGATAGCTAGGGGCTGGTTAGCTGATGATCATAACTTCTTGAAAGCATTCTTTTTCTTCTGCAAAACAAACTCATAAAATCCTTGTTACCCTTGAATCATCCTTCAGGTTAAACAAGAAAACAGCACATTAACAAGATTAACTTTTTTTCATCTGTGTCTGTGTTGGAACCAAGGTGGAAGGGTAGTCATGTTCTTATTGAATATTTACAGTGACCCTCAGGTACCCAGCTTCAACTTCATTCCTTTTTATGGGTGAATAATATTACTTTGTATGTATATACCATCTATTATTTATCTGTTCATCCACTGATGGACACTTGAGTTGTTTCCATCTTTTGGCTTTTGTGAGCAGTGCTGCTACGAACAGGAATGTATATTTGAGTACCTGTTCTCTGTTCTTTTGGATATACAACTACAAGTGAAATTGGGGTCATATAGTAATTCTGTGTTTAACGAGGGTTCCAATTTCTCAGCATCCTTATCAACATTTATTTTCCGTTTTTTGTTTTTTTAATTCTAACCATCCTAGCAAGTGTGAACTGGCATGTCATTGTGGTTTTGATTTGCATTTCCCTAGTGACTAATTACGTTGAGCATCTTTTCATGTTTGGTGGCAATTTGGATATCTAATTTGGAGAAATGTCTGTTCAAGTCCTTTGCCCACTTTTAAATTGGGTTGTTTGCCTTCTGTTGTTGAGTTGTAGGAAGGTTTTTTTTAGTATGTTCTGGATACTAGACCCTTATTTATCCTTCATTTTTAATTTCAGAAAGGAGTCAAACACTACAAAAGTTTGTAAAGAGAAAGTATGTATTTAATCTATATTAACATATTTTAATTTTTCAAAAGAAAAGTTATTGCGCCTCATTTTCCCACCTTTCCATCCTGCTTTTCTGATGTGATCAACATTAGCAGTTGAGTTTCTTCTCCTTTTATGTCCTTATACACATAAGTACATGTATGAACGTATAAACACTCCCAATCACAACACCCACACACACACGCAACAAAAAAACAAAACATACACAAAAAACCAAAACCAAAAATAGAATGTTAGTCCCTTACTACATACCTTGCCCTTTTCCTTAGCAACAGGCCACAGACATCTTCCCAGGTCAATAGAAATAGTTCTCAAACATGCTTTTTAATAGCTGACAGTAGTACAAAGTGTAACGAACCATAATTTATTTAACCATTTTCCTATTGATGAACGTTCAAATTTTTTTCAGCACTTTGCTTGTTCAAAGGATGTGGCGGCAAAAATCTTGTATATGCTGGTGCTTTTAATTTCTTTTGTCTGAATTCCTAAAAGAGAAATTAATGAGCAAAATGATATGCACATTTTTTATTTGCCAGATCGTCCAAAAAATGTTGCAGCAATTCACACTCCCAGCATCAAAGTCTGAGAAAGCTGGGTCAAATTTGATGGGCAAAAAGACAAAGGCCAATGGTTCACCTAAATACTAGTGAGACAAAGCCTCTTTTCACATGTTTTTTGATGGTTTGCATTTTCTCTTTTGTATGTGGTCAAATGCTTTTCATTATTGCGTCTGCACTTTCTGTGTAGCTTAAAAAGGCCTTGTTTATGCTGAAGCTACGCAACTAACTATTCATCCAAATGTTTTTCTCATTCTTTTCTGGTTTGATTTCTTCCATGCACATCTTTAATCAATATAAAATGTATAAGGTAGAGCATCTAACTGACATGTTTTCCAGATGGATAGCAAGTTATGCAAAGATTCCTTACTAGGTAAACTGCTCTTTTTCCATTGGAATTGAAGTAAAAGAAAAAATATATGCAATGAACACCGAATATGCGAGGCACTTTTCTAAGCCTCTTACTTGTATTAATTCATGTAATCTTCACAACTCTGTAGCATAGGTGAAATCTCAGTTTCTCATATATAAGGTTTTTTTTTAAAACATAGTTGCATCGGTTTCTAGATTTTCTATAAGTTTCACTAACCAATAAAGCAGGAAACAGGAGAAATGCACTATACATGTATGCACACGCACTCCCGCTGCCTCCCAGCACACCTTCCATCAGCTGCTCCTCTTCTCCCCTCTCTGAGCACCATGCTCCTATATCCAGTTGCCTCCTCAGCAACTCTACTTGCATGGCAACTTGTCTCCTCAGATGCAGTGGGGCCCAACAGCACTCTTGATTTCCCCCACCAACCTGCCCTGCCGCTCAGTCTTCTTCTGTCTCAGCCCCACCAAATGCCATTGCCACTTCCTCTTTCCACCCCTTGTAGCCAGTCCACCCTACCGGCTCCCCACCAGAAGGAAATCATGACTCTGCCTACTTCTTGTCATGCCTTGGTCACCCTCTTTTTTTGCCTGCACTCCTACCACAGCATTCTATATTCTTTTCCTGCTTCCTCTTTCCTAGTCCATTCTTCACAGGGCAGATAAAGTGGCCTTTTTAAAATGTAAATCATTTTTGGGGACGTAGAGTGTCCCTACTCAGAGTCCTCTCCAGGATCCTCACTGCGTTTGGAACACAAATGCCTGGCTCTGTTCTCCAGGGCCCTGTGTGGCTGGCCACTGCCCCACTTCAGATCTCACCTAGTCTCACTTGCCCACCCTCACACCACTCCCGCCATGCTGGCCTTGTCTCTGTTGCTCAATGTGCCCTGCTCAGACCTATCCCAGGGCCTTTGCTTTTTCCTGCTTTGAATGAGGATCCTTCCCATGGCTGCTTTTCCTCATTATTCCAATCTTGGCTTAAATATCACCCCCTCAGAGAGGCCTTCCTTGACTACCCCAGTAAAGAACCACCCCCCAACACATACCCTTACCCGCCTCTCACCCCCGTCCACCAAGTCACTCTGGGCCAGAACTGGTTTTTATTGTTGTCCTACTAACCTCACTCTCCGAAATTATTATTCATCCACTGTTTACCTGTTCCCCTCCCGAATGTGAAGCCACGGCAGCTGGCCTTGGTGTTTGCTGCCCTGTATGTGGACCCCAGGGCCTGCCACAGAGCAGGGCCTTAATAAGGATTTGCTGCAAAATCGTACTGGACAGAAAGGAAGTTGAAGGAGTTGAAAATAAAACTAGACTGGCCATGAGTTGACAATCGTTGGCAGTGAGTTTGTTATATTTATTCTTTTTATTTTTAAAAAACTTTTTATTATGTGTATACCATGCTGTCTTAATTGCTGTAATTTTGGAATAAACTTTGAAGTCAGGTAGTATAAGCTCTCCAGCTTTGTTCTACTTTTCCAAGATTGCTTTGGATATCCTAGATTCTTTGCATTTCCATATGCATTTTAGAATTGTCCTGCCAGTTTCCAAAAGAAACCTGTCGACAATGAATTGTACCTAGGGATAGTTTGGGGGAGAATCGACATCTTAAACTCGAGTCTTTAAATCCATGAATGTAGTATATATCTCCATTTATTTAAATCTTCTTTAATTTATCTTCACAATGTTTTGTTGTTTTCAGTGTATGGGGCTTACGTGTATTTTATTAAATTTATTCCAAACTATTTTCTGCTTTTGATGATATTGTAAATGAGATTATTTTTTAAGTTCCACTTTCCCAACATTTGCTGCTAGTATATAAACATTCTATTGATTTTTGTATATTGACTCAATTAGACTCACATCTTAATTTACCTGAGTGACCTAGTTAAACTCATGTATTAGATCTGGAAGTTTTGTTGTTGTTGATTCTTTAGGATTTTCTATACAAATGATCATGCCATTTGCAAATAGAGGTATATTTTTCCTTTTCAATCTATACACCCTTTTCCCCCCCGCCTTATTGATCTGGACAAGACTTCTAGTACAATAGAAGTAGTAAGAGCAAAGAACCTTGCCTTCTTTCCAACCTTAGGGAAAAAGTGTTGAGTGTTTCATCAAGAATTAATTAGCTGTAGGTTTTTCATAGATACCTGCAATCAAATTAAGCGAGTTCTCTTTTGTTCCTAGTTTGCTGAGAGTTAAAAACATTTTTTTAAATCATAAATGGGGTTGAATT